GTCATGACAACAATACCTAATCATACATACCTTTTAAACAGTTCTCTCCCTCATCTATTTCAGTGCTGTATACATAATTTATCCCATCTTTCTCAGTCTCCCTTCAACCCTGGTGTCAGTCCCATTTTACAACAGTGGCACTATGCAGTATTTGTCCTTTTGTGACTGAGATATTTCACTCAGCATAATGTCCTCTAGGGTCACCCATTTTGAATAATATTTCATGAGTTCCTTGGTTTTCAATGCAGTGTAGTATTTCATTGTGTGACTATATCACAGCTTCTCTATCCATAAACTATTAATAAACTAATTAATGATCTAAAACAAAAGTTTTATGAACGTTTGAATAAAAAAAAGGATAATTTGTAAATTTACATACACACACATACACACAGCCCCAAAATAAAAATAAACAGCAACACTAATGGCCTATTGTTGTTGTTAGGTGCTGCTGAGTCAAGTATGACTCATAACGACCTTATGAACAAAAGATCTGAACCCTGTTCTATCCTGCACTATCCTTACACTTCCTGCCACACAAGAGCCCCTTGCAGCAGTCACTGTGTCAGTCCACCTAGCTGAGGGTCTTCCATGCCCTAAGTATGTGAGGCAAAGCTTCATCATTCCTGCCTCCAAAGAATACTTGGCTGCACCCTCTCCAAGATATATCTATTAGTTCTCTTGGCCATCCATGGGATGATCAGTGCTTTTCTCCAACATCACAGCTCAAAGGCCTCAATTCTTTTTCTGTCATCCTTCCTCAATGTCCAACTCTCAGATGCATAGCAAGTAATTGGAAAGACCACAGCCTGTATCAGACACATCTTAGTCCTCAATCTGACATCATTATTCCTCAATAGTATGGTGCTGGCCTCTAAAAATCTACCTGTTGGAGGATCAGCAATGAGTTGGTTCCAACTCAATGGCAATTATTGAGTGATATAATTGGAATACACAGGAATCACATCAACTCAACAAAAAAACCCCCTTTAATTCATTATCGTTGAGTCAAAACTGACTCATAGCTGACCCTCCAGTGAGCTTTGAAAGGCTGTAAATTGCACAGGAGGAGACTGTTCATCTCTTTCTCTCAGAGCAGTTGATGGATTTGAACCTTCTGCTTTTGGGTCAACAGTGCAACTTCTTACTCACTGGGCCAGTAGAGTTTCCATAATTATATCAACGGAAAAAGACAGTGCAGAAGCTCAGTATCTTCAGGCAGAACAAGGCCAGTGGAAGAGACGACTATCCCTCACTCATATGCAAGTTCAAATAGAAGCTGAATAAAATTAAAGCAAGTTCCTGAGAACCAAAATACTACCTTTAATATTCTCCACCTGAATTCAAAGACCATCTCATGAACAGACTTGATACAATGAACACTAACTATGGGATGACATCAAGGATAGCATATATAAGAACCGAAAATCTCATTAAAGTGACAAAAAGGGGGAGGTGAGACTAAAATGTAAAGCAGAAAAGATCCCAGAACTTTTTCGTGAACATGTTGTTCTTAGGTGCCATCAATTCACTTGTGACTCAGAGCGATCCTATGTACAAAGCTCTGACCCCTGTCCTATCCTGAGCCAATCTTACTGTTTCAGGCATATCTCCCCCTTATTAGCCCTGTTACTGTCAATCCATCTCTTCCTGGGTCTTATTGTCTTGCACTGTTCCTCCATCCTTCCAAGCATGATGTCCTTCTCCAAGAACTGTTCTTTTCTGACAATAAGCTCAAAGTGTGTCAGAAGGAACTTCAAAATCCTTGCCTCTAAGGAACAAATTGGCTTCACCCTTTCCAGGACAAACCTATTTATTTTCTTGGCAGTCTATGGTATGTTCAATACTCTTCTCCAATACCACAACACAGAGAAGATTCTTGAATATAGAGAAGCTAAAATAAATGGAAGAAAAGGTGAAGTAAAAGAGACAAGGAATATACAAGGGAGCTCTGGTTGCCTGGTGGCAAGAAACTGCGCTGCAATCCCAAAGATACGCAGTTTGAATCTGCCAGATGTTCCACTGGAGAAGGAGGGGCAGTTTCCTCCTGTGCCAGTCAGATCTGATTCGACGGTACACAAGAATAAAAAACAAACAAACAAACTGAAAGAATATACAGTCACTATACTAAAAAGAATTGGTCAATGTTCATCCATTTCACAAGAATAAATGATACTGATGGACAAAGTCTAAACTGCACTGATAGCATTAGATAAAAAATAAGGAATTGTAATAATACCAATTAAAATGTTTGAACAAGTGAATGAAGCACTGGAGATGCACACTCATTTATGCCAAGAAAACTGGGTAGCTGCTATCTGGCCAACTAACTGGGAAGAGATAACTCAACAGAATGCAGAAGTCATGCTTTTGTTGCTAGGTGCCATTGAGTGGAATACAACTCACAGTGACCCTACGAACAACAGATCTGAACCCTGTCCTATCCTGAATCATCCTCATCACCTCTGACATATATGAGCTCATTGCTGCAGTCACTGTGTCAATCCATCTTGACACAGATTAGGGTCTTCCTCTCCTTCACTGACCCTCTACCTTCCCCAAGCATGATGTCCTTCTCCAAGGAACAGTGTCTCCTATAACCATACTCAAAATACGTGAGATGAAGCTTTGTCATCTTTGCCTCCAAAGAGCACTCTGGCTGCATTTTCTCCATAACATGTTTGTTTATTCTTTTCACAGTCTGTGGGATATTCACTACTTTTCTCATACCCCACAGCTCAAAGGCATCAATTTTGTGATCCTATTCACTGTACAGTAAAAATTACAGTGTTTTAAGCATTTTCAGATGATCATCAGCAATATTTTGCAGCTTGCATGTGACATTAATAATATTGTTGGATGCTTTCCACATTCTGTTTGACCATCTTTCTTGGGAAGGGGAACAAATATGGATCTCTTCCAGTCAGTCTACCAAGTAGCTGTTCTCCAAATTTCGTAGCATAGACTGGTAAGCACATCCAGGGATGCATGTGTTATTTGGAACATGTTAGTTGGTATCCCATCAATTCCTGAATTCTTATTTTTTGCCTATGCTTTCAGTGCAGCTTGAACTTCTTCCTGTATTACCACTGGCTCTTTATCATATGGCACTTCCTGACATTTTTCAGTGTCAACCAATTCATTTTGGTGTGGTGACTCTATGTGTTCATTCCATCTTCATTTGATGCTTCCTGGATCATTCAAGAGTTTGCCCAGGGTATCTCTCAGTATTACACATTGAAACTTGATTTGTTTTTAACTTTTTTCAATTTGAGAAAGGCTGGATGAGTTCTCCTCTTTTTATTCTCCAACTCCAGTTATACATTCCATTATAATATCATTAGAATTCTGATTTTTAAAAAATATTTTATTTCATTATTTTTTGTGTGTACCATCAAATCAGATCTGACAGGTACAGGAGGAGATTGTTCCTCCTTCTCCAGCAGAGCATCTGGTGGAATAATTCTGATTTCTTGCAGGAAAAAATTGCAGAAGTGATAGAACAATGTAATTAGTATCATATGCAAATAAAATTTTGCTGAAGATCATGTTTACAGCAATACATCAACAGAGAATTGCCAGAAATTTAAGCTGTATTTAGAGGATGACAAGGAATAAGAGGTTTCATTGCTAACAGTAGATATATCCTGGCTAAAAGTGGAGAATACCAGAAAGATTTCTACCTGTGTTTTAATGGATATACAAAGGCATTCAAGTGTATAAATTGCAACAAATGATGCATAATGTTGTGAAGACTGGCAATTCCAAAACATTTAATTGTGCTTATGCAGAACCTGATTATAGATCAATAAGCTGTAATTAAAATGGAATTAACTTATTTGCAAACAAATGGAACAAGATTATTTGTATAATTTCTCCTTTTCTGATTATAACCCTGCATTTCCCTCAAAGTACTGAATAAACACGAGCTCTTCCTTACATCCTCAACTTAGCTTATAAATATTTCCTCAGAACCTTTCCTTAGTAGGCAGATTTGGGAGGCCCATTCTATGTCTCCTATATATCTATATATATCCACTTCCTAAACAACATGCCTCTGGAAACTCTATGAACCTTGACAAATGTTGATGGTAGTAGAGGGGCTGCAGGCCTTTTGTTCATAGGGTCACGATGAGTCATACTCGACTCGAAGGTAATCAACAACAACAAATATCCTCTATATCTTCTATAATATACAGTAAAACTTCTACTTTTTCTACTCTAACTTCTGCCTCCATGGTTTTCTGGTAACAAGTGGGACCCCAACAGAATGTACAAACCATTCCACTCCAAAATAAAGAATTTATTACACCATAAACTATTTCCCAAGTACATATAATGTTTTTGTCAAAATAATTTTATGGGGTGAAAATAAATGTCAGATATGGCTTATATCCTCTCAAGAAAAGATTTAACAAAATCTCTTTCAGTCTTCTCTCCCAGTTCTGAGACCACAACTTATGTCAGTTCTTGGGCCAAAGACAAAGCAAGAAGATCCTATCTACTTAAGAAGGAACCACTTCAATTTTTTTGTCCAGAAATTCTCCTTCAATGTCTTAAGGCCAACTTTTCATAGTTGCCTTTTCCTTATGCTAGCAAAGGCTGGCAAAAGACTCACCCTCAATTTCCAGCCAATCTTGATAAAGGTGGCTGAGTGGGCTCTTGGAAGGTCTGTGGTTGCCTTGAGTATGGGAGAGAGTAAGGTTATTGTGTCCTGTCTTCTTTTTCATTCCCTATCTTCACCCACTTCACCTTCTACCTCTACATTTGCTTACTTGGATTAAAATTGGGAAGGTTTGCCAGAAGGGAAGCCTGAAGTTGATAGATACTTAGGGATTCCCTGCCCCCCTTTTTCTTAGAGAATGAAGAGGCTGAGCCCCTGGAGAGTGGAGGAGCAGGTTTATGCTGTTTCCCCAAGAATTTCTAATATCTCCTTACTAAATTGCATGAAATAAGGGAGAGGAGCAATGACCGATTTCTTTGGGGCGTCCCAGCGGCCTCTATTTTTTTAAGGATAATTTGGTCTTCATGGTCTTGCCAGAGGTGATGAGGGCCCCAAAGCCCTGCTTGTGGGAGAATGCGTAGGCAGAACGTCGATAGTTGATACATTTCAGCTTGGCTGGAACTGGGGATGGTAGTGGACAGGCCATGCATTCACGAATTCTCGATAAAACCTACAACGAAAGCAAGGATGGCAGAGTATTCATTCACAGACATAAAGGAAATAAGGATCATGAATTATGTATGGATAACTTCCTGTTCTCTCACCTTGTCCACAGTGGTGGGCCAGAACAGTGATTTGAGATATTTGTAGCCCATCACAGGCAAGACACAGAGTGCCACGCTGAGGGCAACACTCAGCCACATCTGTGGCTGGTTCAGCGTGTTCTTGGCTACTCCTGAAAACAATCAGCCAAAAGGTGAAAGGCTGAAACAAAGTGGGAGAGGGGTGGCATGATGGAGAGGGGGAAGCCATAAATGAAATACTGTTTTGGTCCAAAGGTGAACATTACCATTTTGGGGATTTAATCTCCTGAAGATAATATAAATGTATAAGATTTGCAATTAGGTCCTTTTTGAAGCTACAGTTACTATGGATTTTAGGTGCTTTTGTCTCATTCTAAATGCAGGGTGGGGGAGTGTGAACAGGTTATGGGGGAATTATAGGGCATTAACCTAGACACAAAAATTAATTGGAGAGCTTTGGGGGATAAATATGACTTAGTGGCCTATTTCCACGTAGAATCCAGTTACATATACATCTCTACTCCTTCTGCATTTTGTCTTAAGAGAAGTGGAGGTGGAAGAAAGACAGATGAGAGGCAACAGATAGGATGCCATAGTAAAGGATACTGGACTGGAATCAGAAAACCTATATTTAAGTCATTTAATTTTGAAAAATCTGCATTTAGTCTTTAAAATTATGTTAACAGGGCATCATTTTAAAGAAGGTAAGACACAGCTTATATAGGACACAGCTTTGTGTTCATCATAGGATTACTATCACAATCATATCAGGTAAGGAAGTAGAAAATATCTTGGAAATACTAATAAGGTAAAAAAAAGACATCCTTTAGTAAGAGCTACTCAGTAAACATTAAACAAATATAATTGGTTAACCTCCCTTCCCATCCTTCCCCCATCTCACACATACCACCACTGGGCAAGGCCTTACCTAGGAACTGGAAGATGTTGGGGAACAATAGGCACAACTCATCACTATAAAGGAAGAATATGTTGCAGAAGTAGAAGCACAGGCTACCCCAGATGAAGAAATGGCTTATGATCGTCCAGTAGTTTGTTTCCAGGGCAATCTGAAAAGTGTTCTCTTAAATGCAGTACTCTGTGTTCTAGGAACTAGTACCACCAGCTTTCTCATTTTTCATAATGGATGATACTCCCATCTCCTTCTCCTTCCCTCTTTCCCAACCAACTTCCTTATCCAATCCTTTACTCCATCCCCACTAATCATACCTGCATTGTGACCACATAGAGCAAGGAGACCTGTACCATCATGGAAAAAGACTGGTAATCAGAGATTTCCTTCCCATCATTGCGCACTGAATTGTAAATGGTCTCCATGGGGACAAAGAACAGTACAAGAGAACTATAGATCCCATGCATAAAACACTTCACAAATTCCTTCTTGTTGAAATAGAGGTTTTCCTGGCCTGGTTCATATAGCTCTGGGAAATAGAGGCTCCATGATTCATTCACATCCTGAAAATATCAGAGTTGGAAGGCAGGTTCAGAGTTTCTCCACAAAAGATCTCATGTCCACCAGTGTGGAGGATTTCCCCCAGAACTGAGTTTTAGATTGTCTCTTGCAGCTCTCTGGGAAACTCATGGATTACTTGAGAAGTAGAACCAGAGAACAGAACTATAAACCCTTCCTGAAATCTTACTCTTTAGGCAAAAATTGCTGAAGAAAACTAGGCAAGAGCCAATATGGTGTGAAAAGTTAGTTAGGATGAGGAGTTAAGTAAGAAGGGAGAAATTAGGATTGGAATAACTAGAAGGAAAAACTAGAGCCTGGGATGTAGCAGACACCTGAAATATGAGCCTTCAGGCTGAAGTGTTCTTTAATTGAATGTTCATAGGTCAAAAGCAAGTAAAAAGCAGGATTGTAAGAGAAAAGTCAGTAGGAGCCAGTCAATCCCTTGGAAATATCCATGTTCTGTGATTTCCTTTCTATTCCCACAGCTATTGGGGTGAATTCTAGTGGGAAGATTGTCCATGTGAATAATACTGGAGCATCCTTATCTTTTAAGTATGAAACATGAGATAGCAAAATTTGGGGTTTGCATTTATAGATCCCTAGAAGTAGATCACTGAGATTACACAGGACTATTGAGTGATATTACTCACCCTTATTTCTTCTTTGAAGTTGGCATATAGTATAAAAAGAATTTTCTTGAGTCACTACCCTAATGGACCAGGAGCCTTGAGCCTATGATGGTTTATTTTAGCTAATTCATTCCTCTTTGGAGGAATGTGTCCAGGATGGGAGTTAAGGGTAGAAGAGGAATGAGAGGTGGGTCACCCGGGCATCAAGCCCAAGGGAACGTGTAGTAGTGACAGATGGTATCACCTAGGCTAGCTACTACCTATGGCTCACAGTATCGTAGCCACACATAAACCTATGCTATTCCTTCAATACCTCTCACCTAGACCTCTATACATTGGCTTATCTCACCTTCATTACTTCTATGTGAGTCTCTCCTTCTTTGAAAGCTTTGGCTTTTTTTAGTTCAGTCTCATTAACTCTGTCCTTTCATGACACTTATATAGATTCAGTTTACCAGACAGCACAATTTTCATGTTCCTCTCTATAAGAATAAAACTGACATAGGAAAACTTGGATTTTCAAACTAATAATTATTTTCTATGGAGAATGATTCTTTATCCCATTATACCCATCCAAATTATGAACTCTCTTCCCTGTTCTAAAAGGTATTGTTTATATTTGACTTTGCAGAGCTCTTGCTGAATTCCTCACTCTTGAGAACATTCTTCAAGGGTCTGGGGGCTTCAGCATTGACTGAGAGGTTTTCCTCTGGTCTTACCTGATCAAACAGACTGAGGGCCAGGACAGGGAGGGAGGTGTAGATTAGGTTGTAGAAGGTAATGAACCAGGTATCATAAACCGCCTAGAAGGATATCAAGGAAACTTCTTAGACTTCTTTTTCCCCCCAAGCTCTAGCTCTCTACCTTCTAAGGCCCAAGGCATCTTCATCTTCCCATCATTGCTACCATACTAATCTGATTTCAGCAATCTGATTTGCTAAGTTGATACCCTATACCCTCACACTCAAGTCAATATTCAAACTTCTCTTTAGAATTCTGACTGTCCCAGGCAGGGGCAGCATCACAGCAAGGTTTCAAGGCAGATCTGGACCACCTTCACCATGACCTGCCTTGATCCTTCTTGAATAGAAAGAACCCAGAGTGTGTGCTAGGAAATGTTGGCTGTATCCCTGCACCCTCAGACATGTAAACCTCTGGGTTCTTTTCTCTTTCTAGCATAGTTTCTATAGTACTGGATACCTTCTGACACTGGCAAGGAGAATAGACTCAGTAACCTTTCCCTAGTTGAGTACTCCATCCAGGAGACTTGAGAGGCCCCTTTTCATACTAGTTATGTCAACTCCTGGGAGTATACAAGTCTTTTACTGTTTCCTGACTTGGTTTGTTTTCCCTGGATCCCACAGTAACAAGGATAATATGGATCCTCCAAGGATCCTGAAGTTGCTTCTCTTGGGAATCCTTGAGAAACTACTGAAGTTGTTTCTGTAGGGAAAACTCTATGTTTGTGGAGAATGTACAGGATATGAGTGGGGTTAGGAGAGTGAGAGAGAAGAGGAGAAATGAAGTGAAGCTACTGTTTTAAGTATGGCTACAGATGAACTCTAACCAGTCTGTCTGGCATAATCCAGAGGCTCCTCCAAGAGGCTTTGCCTGTCCCATGGAGATTACTCTGGATACTAAGAAAACTCGTGGATCCAAGAATTTCACAGTATAAGTTTGGAAGCTCTAGGTCTCAATGTCAGGGAAAAATGAAAATAGCTAATGGGAGAACTCTAGGATAAGAGTCATAGTCAATGAGTCGGGCCAGAGAAGTCAGGGTTTGGAAATCCAAAGTTAGCATAGGATGGAAAGTGGAATCAACATGAATGCTGGAGATTTTTGGATGGGTAGCAGTATATTACACTGATCTCTAGAAGAAGAGAAGGGTTCTAAGCAGGCTGAAGTAGGGGTATGACTCCTACCTGTGCAGAGAAACCACTGAAGAAAGCATACCAGAAGTGCACCAGGGTGAAGGCAAAATTTTTGTAAAAGAAGTAGTTAAGAAACTTGCACATGCGATTATATGACCAGCGGCCATGGATCAAGAGCAGACGCTGGAGATAGCAGAACTGGGAAATGCTGAAGTCACTGCTGAGCGTGGCCTGCATCCCTTCCTGGCCGCTGATGCCGACTCCAACATGGGCAGCTGCAAGGAAATCCAAGAAGATTCTCAGCCACAGAACTCATTCACTGGGCTTCCAGGCTGGGAAGTGCGAAGGGAAACTGGAGAGGATGCTGCACTAACCCCTTATTTACAGCTGGAAAATAGTGTTAGGCACAACTCAAAATGGCATTTACTGGATAAGTCTTTTCTCTTTAGTGAACTGCCCCTCTTCTGCAAATCATGAAATAATTATATATACTCTCTTTTGGATGCTGTCACTCAAGAAGACTGGTCAAGCCAGGACTATCCTGGATTGCCTTTGTCTCTAATCAAGTCATCTAGGCTCTTTCCTACTGTTTAAATGCTGAGCTAACATTTTCTTGTTATTCCTGTAAGTCACTTAAATCCATTAAAGAGAAAGAAAGGATGTTAATAGAAGAAAATAGTTAACTACTTGAGTTATCCAAGGGAATGATATTTGACTGTTGGGAGTAGTTTGTGATTTATATACTGTGTTAGTGATAGCAAGATCTTCAGGAAGCTTATGATGATTGTGTGTGTGGTGTGTTTGGAGAGAAGCTTCTGAAAGTTTTAGTCAGGGAAAGTTTTAGGACAGATCCTGGTACCTACTGCACTGCTTAATAGGATAATTAAAATTTCCAAGTGCCTAAAAACTGATCACTTGCTATTCATCTGAGAGCTGGACAATGAGTAGGGATGACAAAAGAAGGACTGATGTCTTTGAATTGTGTTGTTAAAGAACAGCACTGAACACCCAAGGACTAACAAAAGAACAAATATATCTTGGATAGAGTACAGCCAGAGTACTCTTTGGAGGCAAGGATGATGAGGCTTTGCCTCACATATTTTGCGTATATAGTTAGGAGGGGGCTAATCCTTGGAAAGAGACTTGATATTTGGAAGGGTAGTAGGCTGGTGAAGGGGAGGAAGACCTTCAATAAGATGGACTGACCCAGTGACTGATTCAGTGGGCTCTAATGTGTGAGGAAGTATGGGGATGGCACAGAATAGGACAGGATTCAGATCTGTTGTTCATCAGGTCACTATGAGTAGTACCTGACTTGACAGCATGTAACAATTAACAACAAAACCCAGAGATGTTCTAGAAACTGAGCAAAAACACTTTTCAATGTTGAAGCTCAGGCTGGAATACTGACTATTATTTCCCAGGTTCTGAAAAAAAGGATGGGCTAGAGAACATCTAGATTTTGCTCATATTACTGGTCCCACAAGCTACTCTAGAACCACAAGTTATTGGAGATTACCAACATTCAAATGAAATGAAAACTGGTATATTTCAGCCATTTGTCTCTATTGGTCTGAAGATCTCAGTAAGTCCCCTGTTCTCTTCCAATCAGGAAGGGCAAGCCCTTGAGAATACTATGTCAGGGGGAAAAAGGTCTCTGTATTGGGCCTTCCAGAAAATTCCCTAGCTGAGCAGTGTTTTCTTCTGCCCAGTGTTGCTCAGGCTGACAGCCATAAAAAAGAGAACAGATTATAACATCCATCTCATTGTTCTTTCTGTGGGTGTTGGGGCCATCTCAGAAAGATGGTACAGTAGTTGCACAGCCTGATGTTGTGTGATGCACATGTTCTTGTAGAAGCTAGTGTATCTGTCGGTTTGAGTGTAAGTGTATGAAGCTGAGTGGGTCTAAGCCTGTGGAAATGGAATGACATATGCATGTGTGAAAAGTAAGAGAATGTAGGATGCTCTTCTTGCTCCAGCAACACCTACGATATCAACACCTATGGCCAAAGTGGAGATGTGACGTGAGATAAGACCTTGGGTCAGGGGCTTAGGTAAGAGCCAGTGTTGCCAGGACTGAGAACTTTGTTGGACAACTGGAGGTGGGAAGCCAATATTGGCAGGAGTGAGAACTTGGGAGTACTGGCCTAAAGCCACAAGGCTCGGGGCTGAGGTGCTTGTGTATATATTTTGAAAGCTGTCTTGACTATATTCTGTTATTAATCTGGATTATAACCTTTTGACTTCCTCCCCTCCAAAAAAGTAGAGAAAAGTATGAGTACAGGAATGAGGAGCGTGAATGTAGTTGCAAAACAATGTGATTGTGTAACATATTTGATATGAAGGCGTGTGAGTTAGCAATAGTGTCAAGTATGCCTATGTTGACTTCCATCAACAGTTTAAGGCTAGACTTTCCTCCCCATCCTCTCACATGCCTTTGATCATGCCGACGTCATTGGCCCCATCCCCGATGGCCAGTGTCACCATCTTCTTGTACCTTTTCACCAGGTTTACTACCTGGGCCTTCTGATGTGGTGTCATCCTGCAGCAGATCACTCCGTTGCACATGCATGCTGTTCGGAGCAGTTCAAACTTCAGGTTTCCTTCTAGAGCATAGGCCTGCAACACCAGGACACACTCTCTTTCCAGGTGGACCAAAAAGGCCTTCAGTGCAAGACATTCCCAGGACATTCTTCTCCCCTGTACTCTCCTGTCTCTCATAGAGCAGGCACAGCTAGATATACCCATGGCTTTCCCACCTGTAAGTGAGGTCAAAGGGCACTCTGGTGGCTTAATGGTAAGGAATTTTGCTGCCAATGCAAAGTTTGACTTCACTAGCTGCTCTGTGGGAGAAAGATGGACAGTGTCCTGCTACACAATTTACTGCCTCTGAAAACACACTGGGGGGTTAGCTATAGGTCGTTCTGATGCAATGATACACAAAAAGAAGCAGTGAGACCAAATCCACAAATCTGATCTAGCCATCTTCACATGTGACTCAGTCTTTAGTATGAAATCTTTCACTAGGTCAAATAAGAAGCAAGTGACTTCTTAGAAGACTACTTTCTGCTTGTTTTCTTACTGCTTCTAAGTTACAGGTCACTAGAATGAGAAAATAATTTGGCTACAAAAGGAAAATGACTTGGACTTCTCAGGCAGTTTCATTCTGTTGGACACAGGGTCACTAGTAGTCAGAGCCAACAACAAAGAAGTGTGAGGAAGGGTGTTTGCTGGCCAGGGGACCCTGGGTGAAAGCTTAGTAAGGTGACTCATGGAATAGGAAAGTGGGTTTGTGATTTCCCTGAAGTAGACTGGACCTAAGAAGGAATGTTCTTGCAAGTCAAGAACATGTTGCTCACCATGCTACAGCCATTGATGATCAAGCCATATTTGCCATTGGGCTCCTCCTCAGGTATTCTGGGGTATTTTTTTTTATTTGTGGTGAGATAAGTTGTTATTGGATCTGTTTCCAGCAGTGAATCTGGTTTCATACAGTATCTTGCTGACCTGAAAGCCAAGAGTAGTTGATCAACCTCTGATCAGGAAATCCTTACCTTCTATGTCCCAGGCTGGAGGGGGGCAAAGCGGGCACAGAGCCTCTGAAGGTAGCAGCTAGGAGCTCAGAACTGATTGCCCCTGACATCTGCCTTGGGATTCTGAGCATGCACACACCGTACTTCTTCATCCCCCATACTACCACCTTCTCTAGCTCTAGTGCTGCTTCACCAAATTCTCTACATTTTAGGGTAGTTTTGTGGTTTTTTTTTTCCTTACCCTCCATTTCTTCTTTGTCCTTCTGATTGTGTGGGGGCCATATTGAGTGAAAAGATGGTGGAATATTTTAAAACCAGTGATTAATTATGGCAGCTCTCCCAACTGTACCTGAGTTCTTGCCAAACAGTCTCATTATCACTGCCTTCTATGATAAACACCCCATCCATTTCTTCATTAAATATGTTACAGGAGTAGGCAATGTTCACAGCAGTCTCTGCAGGAAAAGTGGAACACAGGTCTGACTTTAACTGAGAATGACATACTAGGACAGGATCTTCACAATGCACAGGTTCATGGGCTCTAACAGTGGGCTGCAGAGGCCAATTGTCTACATTTCCCCATTTCCCATGGATATGAAGTATAGTTTTCATTTTCCAGTGGAGACAATAGTCAAACCCACAAAAGACTGTCTTCCTGGCACAGACGGGCAAATTATCAATAACTATAACTAGAATAATTCTAGCTCAAACTTCTCTACAAACTGTCCACCTATTTGTTAAAACAATTCCAATCTGTATTTACTTTTCTAAGCACTCAAGATATTATATTTCCTTAACAGCACTGTACCCATTTCTGTGCTAGAGTTCATAGGGGATTGTGATAAGTTTTAGGTTGTAGTGCTTCCTTTATATCAAGAATCCCAGAACTTCAATAAAATGAAGACTTGATTGGGGAAAAAAAAAAGAATCCCAGAACTTAAAGGGATTTCTCAGTGTGACTTAGCTGACAGCGATCATGTCGACTGATTAATCTATGTGTCCCCAATGTCTTAATACAGAATCTGGTATAAATCTATGCTTGGTAAAATGTATACAAGGCTGAGCAACAAGGTATTTTGTAAGGACTTGTTGATCTCAGTTACAAAATATTTGTCAGGAAATGGCTAAGGTGAGTGGGGGGATTGGTTGGGCTAGAAGCTCCTCCTTACCTTGCTTATCTCCAGTTAAAACCCACACTTTAATTTTGGCCTTGTTTAGGGTGAGGATTGTCTCAGGTACTCCATCCTGCAGCTTGTCTTCTATGGCTGTGGCTCCTAGCAGCTTTGAATAAAGTTCACAGGAGTGAGGAAAAAGGAGAGAGTAACAACATCTAGTGCTACCTAGCAACTGAACTGAACTAGCATCATTACAGTAAGTGATGTCCTGACATAATTATACCCCAATGATATAAAACTCAGTATAATGTACCTCTTAACTCATACAGCTTTATAACCATACACTAAAACAAAATTCAGAAACAGAACAATAGGAGCAGAAAGAGAAAGGGACTTATTCAAGTCAAGCATGAAACTATGACCAAATTCTAAACTAAGTTTCTGTTTTTCAATACACTTTCACTCCTTTGACTCATAGCACCCTTCCTGACTTTGGTCTCTAATATTATTGAGTCCCAGACAAAGGATCCCTGTATCTCCTTCCAGACGTTCCTTCAAGGAACAAGGGCTTGCGAGAGCTCCATTCGTTTATCTCCACTGGGGCCCTCTTAAGGTTTTTTTCTTAGAGTGATAGCACCTTGATCTAACATCACTCTTTCTCTGTATAGTTCCCCAATGGCACCAACCACAGGGATGAACACAAAGACTGAGAGATTGAGGAACTAACTAACAGATGGACAAAGTAGATTCATGCTAGACTTCTAGAAGGGTAGTCGAGAAACACAAACACTGTGTTTCTGAAGAGAAAGGTTTGGGATATTTGGTAAATTCAAATATTCTCACCTAATATCAGTAATTTCTCTTTACAGTAGAGGCAGTCTGGCCCAAAACTCTAGGGTCATCTTTTTTCTCTCAAATCTTATAATACAATCCATCAGCAAATTATGTTGAGTCTTTCTTTTAAAAGTATACAGATTCTAATCATTCTTCAACACATTTACCCTAAATCTAGGCTGGCTATAGACCAAGCAAATTATTGTCATCTCATACCTATATTATTGAAATAACTTTCTAATTGGTCTATTTCATACAAAATGCAACCAGAATGCTCCTTGGAGGCAAGAATAGCAAATCTTCATCTCTCATCCTTTGGGCATGTTGCTAGGAAAGGCTATTCCTTGGAGAAGGACATCATGCTTGGAAAGGTGGAGGGTTAATAAAAGAGAGGAAGACTCCCAATGAGATGGACTGACACAGTGACTGCACTAATAGGCTCAAGTGTGTCAGAGATGATGAGGATGGCACTGAATAGACAGCATTTAGGCCTGTTGTTTATAGGGTTATGATAAGTCATACTCAACTTGATGTCATCTAATAACAACAACATAGCCAATAGAGCACTCTGGTAGTCTTGTCTATAGGGAGCGATGCTGCTAACCCAAAGGCCACACCTCTCTGGGGGTTCAAATCCATCAGTGGCTTCATAGGAGAAATATAGTCAACTCCTCCCATGTGTTTTATAGTCTCAGAAGAAGTGTTGGTGTTGAATCCATTCTGACTTGTTGGCAATTAATTTGAATTTTTCAGTTTAGCAGTTGTTGTTGTTACGTTGTTATGTGCCGTCAAGTTGCTTGCGACTCATAGCGACCCTAGGTACAACAGCCCTAAACCCTGCTCTATCGTGTGCCAATCTCACTGCCTCTGACACACCCATCCCGATTACCCCAGTCACTAAATCAATCCACCTCATAGAGGGTCTTCCCCTTTTGCGCCATCCCTCCACCCTCCCAAGCATGATGTCCCTCTCCAAGGACGTCTCCCTCCTTGTAACATGTCCAAAGTATGTCAGACAAAGCCTCTGAATCCTTGCCTCCAAGGAGCAGCCTAGTTTAAGCCTCTCCAGGATGAATCTGTTTATTTTCTTGGCAGTCCAGGGTACATTCAATACTCTTTTCCAGCACCACAGTTAAAAGGCATCAATTCTCCTTCTATCCTCCTTAGTCACTGTCCAACTCTCTGATGCATAACAAGTGATTGCAAAGACCATGGCCTATATCAGGTGCACCTTAGTCTCCAGAGAGACACCATCGCTCTTGAGTACTTTAGAGAGGTCCCTAACAGCAGACTTTCCCATTGCAATATGTTTTTTTATTTCCTGGATGCTGGTGCCAAGAGTGTTGACTGTGGAGCCGAGCAAACTGAAGCTGTGAACAATCACAATCTCTTCGCCATCCATCCTGATGCTACCAATTGGTCCAGTGGTGAGAATCTTTGTCTTCTTGACATTGAGCCTCAGTCCATACTGAAGGCTGCAGTCCTTGACCCTCTGCATCAAGTCCATGAGGTCCTCCTCAGTTTCAGCAAGCAGGGTTGTATCATCTGCATAACGCAGATTGTAAAGAGATCTTCCACCAATCCTGACGCCACCATTCTCCAGCCCAGCCTCCCAGATAATCTGCTCTGCATACAGGTTGAAAAGGTATGGAGACAGGACACATACCTGGCGTACACCCTTCCCAATTTTGAACCATGCAGTGTTACCCTGCTCTGTTCTGACAACTGCCTATTGGTCCAAGTATAGGTTTCGCATTAGCACGATTAAATGTTCTGGGATTCCCATTCTTCTCAGAGTCAGCCACAGTTTGTTACGATCCACACAGTCAAATGCCTTTGCATAATCAATGAAACACAGATAGACATTCTTCTGGTATTCCCTGCTTTCAGCCAAGATCCATCTAATATCCGCTACAATATCCCTAGTACCACGACCCCTTCTAAATCCAACCTGGACTTCTTTCTGGCAGTTCTCTGCTGATGTGCTGTTCCAGTTGTTTTTGGATAATCTTCAGTAGAATCTTGCTTGCATGTGAAATCAATGATGTTGTTCTGTAGTTTACACACTCTGTTGGGTCACCCTTCTTTGGAATGGGAACAAATATAGATCTCTTCCAGTCAATCTCAAAATAGCATCCAGAGTAATCATTTTAAAAACCATCACCATTATTTTTCTGGTTGACTGTTTCAGTTGGTTTCCTATTTCAACATGAATCTTTACAGTAGTTTATGATGTCATTGTTACTGTGTGCCATTGAGTCAGGATTGACTCACAGCTGGCCCTCCAGTTAGTGTTCAGAGGCAGTAAATCACATGCAAGGTGACTGTCCATCCTTCTCTCATGGAGCAGCTGTGGATTCGAACCACATGTCTTTGAAATGGCAATGTAGTTTCTTACCAGTAGGGCTTCCTAGTAATCTGTGTTGTTGTGTACTGTTGAGTTGGAACAAACCCATAGTTGACCCTCCAGAGAGTTTTCAGAGATGGTTAATCATGTGGGAGGAGATTGCCCATCTTTCTTCCATGGTATTCCTGCATTTATTCTGGATTGCAGCGCAGCTTCTTACCACTAGGCTACTAGAGGACCCCTAGTACTTCTCTGCCTCATCTCCTATTCTCTCTCTTTGCTGTTCTAGCTGTATTGGCTGCCTTGCTATTCAACTAGCAGGTTAGCATGCTCCTCTTCCAGAGCATTTGCACGTACTCTTCCCTTCTGAAAAGCCAATGCTCTAGAGATTGGCTTAATTTTCCATCTCTTTCGGATCTCTTTTCATCTAGCTTATTTCCCCCTGCAGCTCAGTGTCCTCTTCTGTCTCTGGTGTGGCAGGAGATCAGGAACAACAGCTCAAGCAGCTTGTATGCAAAGGTGCTCAGGTCAGCCCTCTGCCTCAGAGAGCTAAAACAATTGTTTCCTCTGCTTGAAGTTCTATATGCTAAAGTTTCTTGTCATGTTTGGAACCTTGGATGGCCCTGCAGCAGTGAAGGCAAGGACCTTCAGATGGAGGGACCTATCACCCCAGGGACACTTCAGTCCTGTCTCCCCACAAGCAATAGAGAATGCTTGCTCTCGGCACACAGCCTCACCTTCATATAGCTTCCTCTATAGTTTCTGTGAAGACTCATTACCCTATTTAAAATCATAACTGTGCCTTCATCTCCTTCCATGCACACGATACTCTCTTACTCCTTTATGGCTTTATTTCTCCACACTACTCTCACATCTAACACACTACAAGCTTTGTGTTGTCGTTGTTGTTGTTATGTGCCATCAAGTTGCCTGTGATTCACAGTGACCCTATGTACCACAGCCCTAATATATATTTATGTTCTCCAACGAGAACATAACTTCCATGAGGGCAAGGATTTTTTTTCCCTATTTTATCCACTGTTATTTGCCAGGGCTTAGAACAGTGCCTGCCATTTAATATGAATGCATATGTGAATATTTTTGTCTTGATTACTCTATCAAGCAAAGCTGTTTAGAAAGAGCTCTGGTGGTCCAGTGGCGAAAAGCTGCACTGCAATCCTGAAGTCATGTTGTTCAAGTTCACCAGCTGCTCTCCATGAGAAAGACAATCTCTTCTGTGTGATTAACTGCCTCTGAAAATATGCTGGAGGATCAGCTATGTGTCAGTTCTGACTTGATGATACACAACAACAACAAAAGTTTATCATTTAGCTCTGACTTACCTAATTTGTGCATGATTCAGATCTTGCTTTCTCTAAGATTTCTAGGGAGCTCTGGTGGCCTAGTGGCAAGAAGCTGAGCTGCAATCCTGAAGGTACACCAGATGCTCCACTGGAGAAAGAGAAGCAATCTCCACCTGTACCAGTTGGATCCAACACAATGGTGTACACACACACACACACACACACACAGAGTCGTGTTTGATTTCTTCGTTCCTGGTTAAGTAGCTTTGATAGAAAAAGTATTGCCATAAAGATAAAAATGACATGGAGTGCATTTTAAAGTTATTTCTAGATTTTGAAGACCCAAAATATCATGAATTAGCCTGGATTCCAGCAACTATCCTCTAATATAAAGCTTTGATGTTTTCTGACTGGGCCTGCCTTCCTCCCTACTTTTCAGAGAAAGCTGGCACCTAACTTCCATTAAACCATTCTCAAAGCTCTTGCTGAGTCTGCTGGCTGACACCCCAATCCCTATTCTCAGTTTGTTCCTGGCTTCCTTACACTAACCATTAAGTCTTTTTCGATTTCTTCATAGACAATTGATAATTTATCTTGCCGATTTTCCAAAGATAGGTAGGCTTCAGAATGCCTCTTGCTCCATTCCCGGAAGAATTTATCATCCAATTTTCGATAGGCAACCATGAGTGTGCGAAGGCCTTGGCTGGCAAAATCCTGGAAGACATACATGCGTTCTGAGTAAGCCTGGACTGAGTGAAGGCTGAGTTAAGGGAGTGGCAGACTGGCCTTACAGGCCACATATACTTCCTAGTCTTAACTGTAATGGTGGAGCTGTCATAGAAAAATTTATCAAGGTTGGGAATCAAGCATAGCTGGAGATAGAGTACCTAGGGAGAAAGGTGCTAGATTCTAGCTGGAGTTAGCTAACCTGCAGTATGACTTTGAGGGGGGAAAAACCCCAACTTTTTGAAAATTCTTTCTTGTAAAATCAGGATATTAATTCACCCATTACAGAGAGAATAATGATGGGCATGTTATAAGCGTGAAGAGAATAACAAAGGAGTTATCATAATCAATAATCTAAGTAGTATTGGTTTTTGAAAAGCATATATTCCTTGTCATTTTGTTCTCCCCTCCTTTGATCAAGTAGTCAGTGGGTACCTCTCGCAGCATATTTATGTGTTTTTGTCTATAGCTGGTTTGCTCAGTTGAATAGCCATAATGAAGCCATGAGTTAAATGCTATCTGAATGAGTTATCTTTTGCTCGTTGGCCACCAAAATAACCTAATTAACCAACTCATAGCTGATCCTTCAATGTGTTTCCAAGGCTGAAAAATCACATGGGTGATTTCCATCTTCCTCCCACAGAATTGCTGGTGGATTTGAACTGTCCTTCGAGTAGCAGTGCAACTCCCTGAGGACTATAGCAGAGCTCCCTTGTAAAAGCCTTGGATTCATCATTTCTTTTTCTGTTGTTGATCCACACTGTCTTCCTTCCCTCCCTCCTCCCCCCACCCTACTAGTTCCAGAATGTTGTCATATGTATAACGGCCTAATCATATATTCCTTTTAGACACTTCTTCCCCTCATCTGTTCTACTAAAATATTCATTATCTATCAACTCTACGCATTCTCTATCCACCCTATCCCCTTCTGTCCTATTTTATAAACATGGTGTTATATATTTTTCTTTTTGTGGCTGAAATATTTTACTCAGCATAATGTTCTCCAGGCTCCCTCATTTGGGTAATGTATTATGAGTTTGTTGTTTTTCAATGCTGCATAATATTCTATTGTGTGAATATATCATAGCTTCTCTATCCATTTATTTGCTTTTGGGCATTTGGGTTCCTTCTATCTCTTTGCTATTGTGAATAATGTGGCAATAAACATGGGTGTGCATACATCTGTTAGAGTTGTGGTTCTGGTTTCTTTAGGGTATATTCCCAAGTAGTAAAATTGCTGGATCAAAAGGTGTATCTATGTATCTATTTCCTACTTTTTGAGAAAGTGCCAGATGGCCTTCCATAGTGGCTGTACCTTTTTACACTGCCACCAACAGTGAATAAGAGTTCCAATTTCTCCACAACCTCACCAGCATTTGTTGTTTGTTGTCTTGTTGAACTTTGCTATTGCTGCTGGGGTGAGATGATATGTCTTAGGTGGTTTTGGATTAATCATTTCAATATCTTTGCTTTTCCCTCTTCTTTATTCTGGGCAGAGGGAAACTAGTAATTTCATCTTAGATGGTTGCTTGCAAGCTTTCAAAACCACAGCTGGTAATCACCATAGTATCTTTAGGAATATTGATACCAACCCCAAGAGCGGCCCTAGGATCAGCAACTCATTCCTTGAGGGTGTTCATATAACATTATTCCTGTTGGCTCTGTTATATACATGAATATGTTCACAGCATAACTGTATTTTGGTACTGTCCAGTTGGAACTTATAGCTGACCCTTCAATGTGTTTTCTGAGGTAGTAAATTACACAGGAGGAGAATCTACTAAAAGCTCACCTTCCACTGGGTTTTATGAGAGGAGACTGCTCCCACAGAGTCACTGGTGGACCCAAACTTCTAGAGAGGCTGGTCTTTGTGCTAGCTGTGCAACCACCTATGGATTACAGAACCAAAGCTGCCTTTACAATCCTATGTAGGATCACCAGTGTGGTAATTTTCATCTGCCCATTTCTGTTTATTTTTCCTGACTGTCTATATGTGTGCTTATAAATTAGTATTATTGTTGCTGGTTTTGCAGGATAGTCTATGTAATAATGTTTACTTTGGTTGGCTGTATTTCTTGTGCACCTCTCTATCATCTTTTTCTTTACAGGTATTGTGCTGATCACTCCCTTATTATATTTTGCCTTTCCCTTCATCCATCCAAATATGCTTTCATTATCTATTTACTGATTTTTATTCCTCTCTCCCACTGTTCCTATCCCGGGTAACTGTCAAAGAATAATTCTTTATGAAAACCTTTCTTTAGCTTTTCGTAATAGTGAACTTAACATTATTTGTCCTTTTGTGACTGACATTTTACTTAGCATAATATCCTCTAGATTCATCCATGTGATACAGTGTTGCCTGAATTATTCACTATTCTTAGTGTTGCAAAGTACTACACTGTATGTTTATAGCTTGTTTATTCATTCAACCACTGATGACCATATGGGTTGTTTATATATCTTCTTGCAATTGCAAATAATGTTGCAATGAACATGGGCTTGCATATTTTTGTTCATGTTTATTAACTGGATACTGCCTTTTCTTTTATCCATCTTAATATATGTATTATCTGGAATACATGAAGTATGAATGTAGGAAAATTGGAGATTGTAAAAAATTAAATTGAACACATAAAGTTTGATATGCTAGGCATCAGTGATCTGAGATGGATTGGTGTTGGCAACTCTGAATCAAACAATATGATCTAATATGTCAGGAATGATTAATAGGAAGAATGGCATTGCATTAATAGTAAAAATCACAATTTCAAGATCCATCCTGAAGCACAATTTTGTGATAGGATACATTGTTGTTGAGTCCTTTGCGACTCATAGCGACCCTATGCACAACGGCCCTAAACCCTGCTCTATCCTGTGCCATTCGCACTGCCTTTGATACACCCATTC